AACAACAACAACAACTCCTGAGAAAGGATTTGCAAAGTCAACTGGAAGGCAGCTAGCTGGTTGGAATCCTTCTGCAGGAGACTGATGAACATTCTTATCCTGTGTGATTTTTATTACATTATCCTGAAAGCTCATTGGAAGTCCAGCTATGAATCGGTTCTGATGCATCGGCAAGGAGTTGTTTGTTCCTTTTCCTTTAGCTCTTCTACAAAAATTCAGCATCTCATATAACATTCAACTCATTATTTTGTTTATTTACGATCTTTTCAGTGGCTTTATGCTTTCTTCATTCATATACAATGTCTTTGATAGTGCTCCACAACTGGTCTGGTCTTCAGTCATTAGTGTTGAATACATCAAATCTATTCTTGAGAAGGATCTTTACATTCAGGTGAGATATACTTAGGGTCATATTTTGGCTTTTATAAACTTGTTCTCACTTTTTTTTCTGCTTCAATTTTTATTTGGCTATATTGTTGTAAATCATAGGGAGAGCTCTGCTGGCCTAGTGAGTAGAAAGTTATGCTACCAAGCCAAAGGTGGGTGATTTTAATCTGCAGACCTCCTCAGACCTCGTTTAATCTTCTAAGTGGTATCACACTGCTCTGTCCATTTGCTATACGGCGGTAACTCTTGGTGGCTGTGATATTAAACACTGTGACACTGATATGTCAAATGCAATAATTAATGGTTACCCATTGTGGACAGCATTTGGTGGAGCTCCCAGATTAAAACAGGCTTGGAAGCAGGAGTGGCATCCACTTCCAAAATAGCTTGCCTCCGGAAACTCTATGAACTTAGAGAAATGATGAAAGTTAAACAAGTGTTCAGGTCTTTTGTTCATAAAGTCACTACGAGTTGTCTATGACTCAAAGGCACTTAACAACAACAACAACAATATTGAGCTAAGGGCAGTAGGTGTGTCAGAGACAGTGAAATATGCTCAAGATAGAGCAACATTCAGAGCTGTTGTACATAGGGTCAGAATGAGTCAGAGTTGACTCAATGGCACATAACAACAAACAACAGGTAAGTAATTGATGGCTTATACCACAGTCAGCTTCTGGCCTTGCTTGAACTACTGATATTAAGCTTCTCCACCCTCTCTTTCCACTGATACCATCAACTTTATTCTTGCATATTCTATTTGGCAATATTTATATGTATATTTGTTGTTTATATTTGGGTTTTTTAAAACAACGGGTTTCCAATTAAATCTTGTATCATAAGGGGAAAAATGTGTCATGCTATCTTTAGATTCATTTCTATAACCAAATTCATATTTCAAACTACAGATTCTTCACTTTTTCCATTTTTGTATTCCAGTATCCAGATATTATTAGTACATGTTCACTTGATCATAGCTAAAAGGCTGAGAAGCTACTATTAGTGCATCTTAATTGAATGTTCAAACAATTTCTGACTACAGAATTTGGTACAAACCCTCAGGGTTTTCATCTTTGCTTTTAAATATTGGTTCATAAGTGTAAATCCTTATTAATAATAATTATTAACATGTATTTCTTGTATGCATATGGATATTATCCTATCACTGACAGAATTGAACCTCAGGACAGATCTTGAAGAGT